CACACAAATGTTTGGGGGCCAACATCTGTCACTTCTGTGAACAATTTCAGATACTTTTCATACCAGTAAACCTTTGGAGCTACTTCACACAGATGTTTGGGGGCAAACATCTATCATTTTTGCGAACAATTTCAGATACTATGTCATATTTGTAGACGATTTTACAAAATATTGTTGGCTTTGTCTTTGCAATATAAATCTGATGTGTTTCCTACTTTTGTTAAGTTCAAAAGTCTTGTTGAGAACTTGCTGCATACTAAAATTGTTGCTCTTAGATCATATTATGGTGGGGAATATCTTAGCACTCAATGCTCTAATTTCTTTATTGAGAATGGTATCAATCATTGACTAAGTTATCTATACACCCCTCAACAGAATAGTTGTGCTGAACCTAAGCACATGTACATAGTTGAGACTGCCAGAACACTTTTAACAGTTTCTAAGGTCCCTCACACCTATTGGGATCATGTTTTTTCCACTGCTGTGTTTCTCATAAACAAATTACCTACTGTATCCAGATTGTCTCCATAGGAACGTCTCTTCCACATATCACCTAACTATGCCACCTTGAAGGTTTTTGGGGTAGTTGTTTTCCATGGTTGCAACCTTACTATGAGTCTAAATTGGATCCCAAAAGCAAGCTCTGTGTATTCCTTGGTTACAGCCTCAACCACAAAGGTTACAAATGTTTGGATCTCACTACCAACAAGTTATACATCTCACGAAATGTGATCTTTGATAAAGGCAATTTTCCCTTTCACACTATTGCAGCTTCACAGTGCTCTCTTTCCTCAGTAGCAGCTTCATCTCTCAATACCATTCCCATGCACCTCACATTCACTTAACCACAGATCTATTCCCCTATACCATCATCTTCATCTCCTATATTCTCCAACAACCTTTATACCTATATCTCTTATACCTACATCTCACTCGGTTCATACTAATACTCACCTTATGCAAACCAGGTCCAAATCTGGTATTTACAAACCAAAAGCATTTTCTGCAACCAAACATCCTCTCCTTTCTTATCTTTCCAATGAATTTGTTCCCACTACATATCTCCAAGCTTCCAAATATCCACATTGGGTTAAGGCAATGCATGAGGAGTTTCTTGCCTTACAACAAAATGGTACTTGGTCCTTAGTACCCAAAACTGCTCATCAAAACATTGTAGGATGTAAGTGGGTTTTCAGGATTAAAAGAAAACCTGATGGTACCATAGATAGGTACAAAGCTTGCTTAGTTGCCAAAGGTTTTCATCAGCAAGAATGACTTGATTATACTGAGACTTTTAGTCCAGTAGCCCAGCCTGTGACAATTCGACTCCTACTCACTCTTGTTGCCCAATTTGATTGGAGTCTCAATTAACTAGATGAAAGCAATGCTTTTCTGCGTAAGACATTGTCTGAATCTGTTTATATGCAACAGCCGCCTGGTTTTGAAGATGTTATTCATCCTACTCATGTTTGTCAATTGCATAAATCCCTATATGGTCTTAAACAGGCTCCCCGAGCCTTGTATGAAAAACTCCATGGAGCATTACACACTTTTGGCTTCACTGGTTCCAAATTAGATCATTCATTGTTTGTCAAAAGGGATCTTATGGTCTTTGTTCTGATATATGTTGATGACATTACTGTCACAGGGCCATCTGCAGCAGCTTGCAAGCATGTTATTTCTCAACTTAGCTATCTCTTTCTTATTAAAGACCTTGGTGCACTTCATTATTTTCTGGGAATTGAAGTCAAGCGATCCTCCAAAGGCATCTTCATTTCACAAACAAAGTATATCTTGGATCTATTAAAGAAGGCTAACATGGCTGGAGCAAAACCATGTGCTACCCCACTCAGTACATCCAAGATGGATCTTTCTTCTCCATTGCTTGATAATCCTGCAGATATCGACCTTTGGTTGGTTCATTACAATATCTTACTTGGACTCGGCCAAATTTATCATTTACAGTCAATTCATGCATAGTCTAAGGCAGTCTCATTTTCAAGCTATCAAAAGGATCATTCGATATCTTAAGGGTTCCATTGACATTGGTCTTTGGTTTACAAAATATGTCTCTATTCCATCTCTCAAAGCCTTATCAGATGCTGACTGGGCAGGTTGCACACTTCATCGAAGATCAACTAGCGCTTATTGTATTTTTCTGGGTTCATCTATCATCAGTTGGAATGCTAAGAAGCAATCAACAGTGGTTCGTTCTTCAACAGAGGCAGAGTATCGATCTTTAGCTAATACTATAGACGAAATTACATGGATATGTCAGTTACTTGCTGATATTGGTTTCCATCTTCCTTGTTGACATGCCCGACCTTGATATTCCCCAAACATCAGGGTAGGAACGTGCTGGCCGATACTTGAAGGTGACAAAGCCATATTAGAATGCATGAGAACCCGAAATATATAAGACTTATAAATTTAATTATATTTAATATGCAAATGATGAACGTGTTCGGAGCATACAACTAATCTAAAACACTAAAAAGAAAATAATATAACATTGAAGGAGCAAAGGAATGGGTTCTACACTAAGAGGACTCGAAGCTGCCGAAGCGGAAATGCCTTGACGTCGAGATTGTACGCCGCGATTCTAAGTCCTGATGGGGCACAAAACAAACATGGGTGGACCAAGTTGATATATATATATACACACACACTTACTAAAACTTTTATCAACATACTAACCACCAAAGTTTTATGGAAATTCAATAGTATAATATGTAATAGGTTTTCCGAAAACCGTAGCATGTCATAAAACCTTCATAAAACATATCTCATATATAGTGTGATACATAGTGGTATCCAATAATAATATCTCCTGACCCAATGCCCGCTTTTATGTCTCTGCACTGGTAGCCAGAGATTATTTCTCTTAGCCAGCAGCCAACAACTATAATCCTCACCCGTGGCGGTATAGTGACCACTAGATAAGCACACAACCATTGAACATACTCCTTCGAGGTGTTTCTTCGTATTTTGATGTCCAAAACATAACAACGTGGTTAGAAAAGAACTATAGGGACGAAAAGATAAGCATTTGGAGTGTTTTGAGGCTTACCCAAACCAAAAAAGTTACAAAATCATTCAAAGTCGCGTCGGGGAACTTTGTTCTCGTCGAAGCTTGGAGTTAGAGTCTCACGGCTCGGTTTTTCCTACGTAACAGGGCTCGAGTTCGAGCTCATAAGGTCTATAGGGTGAAATGGGTGGTTTCTCTGGTGGTGCTTTCCCCCATGGCACCCTTCGGTACTTGCTGAGAGAGAAGGGAGAGAAGTAAGAGTGATAGAGATAAAGTGAAAAAGATAGTGAGACTCATAGGAGGGAAGAAAGAGAGAGAGAGAGAGAGAGAGACAAGGGAGAGGGTCGCGAACAAACTCCATAGGTGGGCCCCTTGGGCACACCTATTAAGGCCCTCAAAAACAATATTTTAAACCAATATCCCAACCCAAAATGAAATTACAACATTACCCTTTCGTTCCGTAAAAATTTAGGACGGGTTGTTACACATGTACTCCTCAACTCTAGTGTGATAATCAATCAACTATCTCTCTTGCCAAAAATCCTTTGTTTCATGCTAGAACAAAGCATGTAGAGATCAACTACCACAACATTCAAGAAAAGTTGTTATCGAAGGCCATCTCAGTCCATTTTATCTGCACTCAAAATCAAATTTCATATATATGCACAAAATCTCTTTCCAAAGACCGGTTTCAGCTCTTAAGATCCAAACTGTCCCTTTGAACTCCTCAGTTTAGTTTGAGGGGGGATGTTTTGGATAGTATTGTTAAAGATTCAATTGGTGATAAAACTTAGAGCTAGTTTGTTTGTTTTGGTTGTTGTATTAGATTAGTAATTAGTTGAGATTGTTGTATAGGTCGCAAGGTGTTTAGAAGGTTAAAGTTATGTGAGAGTGTGTGTGTATATATATATACACATACCACAACATTGTAATTTTATTCTCTTAATCAATGAAATTCATTTTCTCAAACAAAATGCAGCCTCATCGACGAAAGGTTAAGGTGCTCGTCAAGGTAAACGGCGCGGACGTTGCGGAATTAGCAGTGAAGAGGCCGACGACGAGGTCTGAGCTGCCGGTGGCGCCAATGCAGAGGGCGGTGCTGCTGAGGCGCTTGAGGGCGAGCTAGCGCTTGCAGACGAGGGAGCATGCATCACAGCTGGGCTTGGAGTCGAGCCGCCGGAAGACCTCAACGATCTACATAAACTATCCTCCGAATACTCTATCACCACGGAGACTATTAATCTGATTTACAAATTGAGGGCCAGGAGTCTGATGTCCATAAACTAGTGTCTTCGCCATGTCTTCTTTCTAACTTAGTGACACATGCTTCAACACCGTTAAATTAAACAGTGATAACACCAATTAAATAGTGTAATTGGGTAGTTGGAGAGTTAGGCACCTTTTGTTTTTCTTTTATTTCTTTTTATTTGTTATATTAGTCTTTTGAAAAGATAGCACTGTTAAATTAAAAGTTAAGTTTATAGACCGCTGTTAAAAAGTTAGAGAGCAAACACAAATGAGACACTGAATTGGCGACAGCAAACTACAGCCGAATTTGACACGCCCCGACCCTGATATTCCCCGAATACCAGGATAGACACGTGATGGACGACACCCGAGGGTGACGAAAGCCATTAATTGATACAAAAGCTAAGAATAAGAAATAAATACGGGTTAGAAATTTAAAATACTAAGAGTTAAAAGGTTTAGGAACATGCTCAGAGCATACAACTAAACCTAATCACTAAGAAGAATTAAGATAAAATTTAATGAATAAAGGAGTGAGTCCTACATTCGAGAGGATCCGAAGATGCTGCTGGGGAAGTGCCTTCACGCCGGGATTAGGTACCTTGATCCTAAGTCCTGAATGGGGGCGCAAAACAAAGGTGAGTGGACCAAGTTTATATATACAATAATAATAAAATAGTTATCAACATACTAACCCCCAAAGTTTATATAAATGAAAACTACTAGCATAATAAGTGATGAATTTAATAAAAATCCTAGCATGCCAAATATCTCAAAAATCACATCGCGGAATATCATCGCAGAAATCAAAACAGTAAACGCATCATAAATCATCTCGTAAACGCGGTGTGCTGCTAGAAAGATCACTAAATAAATATAACTCCCGACCCAATACCTGTTCCGTGGTCTCTGCGCCCGTAGCCAGAGATTACCAACTCCCGGCCCAATGCTTGCTCCATGTCCCTCAGCCGGTAGCTAGGGATTATTTCTCCCGGCCTAAATGCCAACACCAGTTCCTCGCCCCAGACGGCATAGTGTCTACTAGGTACGCACAAATAGTTACGCCTATCATAAATAACCACTTCATAGTATAAAGTCATCCATTGTCTATACTATAAAGAGGGGTTTCTAAAACATGTTCTAGCATCCTATCGTCATCCATCGAATAGTCTACCAGTTCATGATTTTTATAGAAAATACGATATATTAAAATATAGCTCAAACTAGGCTAGCAATTTATTTCCTCACCAAAACACGAGACGAAATCAATAAATTCCAAAAACAGGCTTAACATAAATCAGTTCGTAAATCCGTAGGCATGCTAATCATTTATGCAATTAAATTATAAAATCATGTAATTTTAGAAAGGGTCCACTCACAAATATTCTTTAGCAGAAGAATCGCACGAATAAGGATATAGAATTTCTCCACTAGCAACTTTACCTAAGCACAAAAATGTAATAGATAAATAAAAGGATTTTCTAAAAGATTGGGTTTGAATTAAATAAAATAGGGGATTTGGGATTGGATGAGTTTAGGGTTTTAAACGGGTTTTAGAAACCTAGGGTTTTTGGGTTAAAAGGGTATTAAGGTGAGAATTGGGGTTTGGGCTTAAGCCCAAACATATACACTCCACAAACACACACACACCACCAAAACACAAAGGCCTTAAGGCCTTATTAAAAAGGACAGGGCTTTAAGCCCTTTAATATATAACCTGCCCAAGGCCAAATTATATAAGGCCCGAGCCATTTTTGGGTTTTAAAAACCAATTAACAAAGCTTAAAAAAAACTAAAGGGGGCTAGGGTTTGGGCTTAAGACAACACGGGCCTAAGGCCCGAGGGGAGGAAATGGGAAAGGCCGGATGGCCTGGTTTGCCGAGAGAGAAGGCCGGAGCTGCTACAGCTCCGGTCACTTGAAAACGAAAGCTTCGAGCTCCGATCTAGGTACAAACATGAAGAACCAAGAGATAGAGAGAGATTTCTACCTTCCAAACACCGTAACTCGGTCGGAGGTGACCGGAAAAGCCTCCAAAGTCCATGGGTTCGCCGGAAAATGGGTGTGCTCACCCACAATGATTTCCGAAGCAAAATCTACGTAAAAATAGAAGGTTCAAGCTTCTAAATCATAACCAAACATTAAGCTAGGTACGAGAATGAGGGATTCGAGACTTACCCCCACTTAAAAAGGAAGAAAGCTCATCGGAGCTTTGCTCCGTGTCTTCGATCTCGCGGGCAAAGGGATCCTGGGCTTGCTACAAGCCTCTCCTGAAGGTGCTAAGGTTCTAGTGAGTCCAGGGAGAGAGAGAGATGCGAGAGGTTGAGAGAGAGAGCTACATGGAGAGTTGAGAGAGCTTCGGGAGAGAGAGACGAAGAAGAAGAAGGTCACGGGGGTGAGGGGACATAAAGAGGGAAAAGAGGGGAGGTTTAATGATTGACACGTGGCAGCTGGGGGTGGAAATAACAAATGGTGTAATTATTTGGGGGTGGTTGTAACAATCTACCCCCCTTAAAATAATTTCGTCCTCGAAATTTAAAATCACTGACTAGACTGAAAATATTCGAAAATAGGAAGAAGAATAATATACATATATGTAACGAAGATATTAGGTAAGAGCGGTTACACAAAAGGGAAAATGCCACGCCGTCGCAATCAGCTGCAATGATTCCATCTTTCGTGCCCCCAGGCTCATACTTTCTTTCCCCATCAGTGTAAAAGTAGAAAACATACTTTAATAAAATATAAAGTCGAAAACACAAAATAATTTAAGGCCAGATAACATCAAAATAGATATGTACTAACATATAGATCAAAAGCTCGAATCAACTTAAAAATGAAAACAGAAATACTTTTCCAAAAACATTTATAACGACAAAAACAAATAACTAGAGGAAATGAAGTTAAAATACTTATACTGAAAACCAAAGCTAAAAAATAAGAGTGGGTCTCGCCCAAGCACACGAAACGTCACGCACTTCGAGAACAGATGTGTCTTTGGGTCGAGTCCCAAGAATAACAATTCTGAATCTGCATCAGCTACTGTAGGCGAATCTTCTTGCCCACTTGCCTAACGAACCCAGCAAATAAGCTATCGATATACCGGTCGGCCGCCAATGCAAAGGGCGGTGCTGCTGAGGCGCTTGAGGGCGAGCTAGCGCTTGCAAACGAGGGAGTAGGCGTCACGGCTGGGCTTGGAGTAGAGCCGCTGGAAGAGCTCGGCAATCTTTTTACTACATAGACTTTCCTCCGAATACTCTATCACCACAGAGACTATTAATCTGATTTACAAATTAAGGCCTAGGAGTCTGATGTCCATAAACTAGTGTCTTCGTCATGTCTTCTTTCTAACTTAGTGACTCATGCTTCAACTTAATACCAATTCAACAGTGTTAACATTTGAAGAAAAAAACTAAAAATTAAAGAAAAACGACAGTATCCCCTAAAAAGATAACACCGTTAAATTAAACAGTGATAACACCAATTCAATAGTGTTATGGGGTAGGTGGAGGGTTAGGCACCTTTTGTTTTTCTTTTATTTCTTTTTATTTGTTATATTAGTCTTTTGAAAAAGATAGCACCGTTAAATTAAAAGTTAAGTTTATAGACATCTGTTAAAAAGTTAAGAGAACATACACAATTAAGACACGGAATTGAAGACTGCAAACCGCGGCCGAATTTGGGAGCGTAAGTTCGTAAATTTGGGAGGGTGTGGAAATCGGTCGCACAAGAATCAAAATAAAAACCCCTCTCTGCCATCGCATTATCGCACGCAGCTGCACGAACAAAACGCAGAAAATACATTTTCTGCGCCGAGTCTGCCCCTTTCCCTCTCACTCACAGCGCTGCTTTCTGCTTCGGTCTCTCTCTCCTCTTCCTACTGCCTAGTCTACAACAAGGTAACCTCATTTCTAACTTTTTATTATTCAATTTCAGTTTTTATATTTTTTTTTAAATGAAAGAAGGATACTTTTTTTGCTTCGATTCTTATTTCGCTTTTGAATTTCAATTGGCATTTTCAGTAGGGCTAAATTTTTGAATGTATCAATGAGTTTTTTTTTTTAACAAGAAATAGCAATGCCAGATGATGATGAGCTTTTGTGGAATCTTCTGATCTTGTTGTGTTGGTCTTTGTGTGTATCGTAGAACAAGGGTGAGGTCCATAATTGACATTGCACAAATGACGAACAAAACATCCAAAATCGGACAAGATTTGTTGGTGAATATTCTGTCAACTCTGCCTCCGAAATCTCTGATGCGATTCAAGTGCGTCGCTAAATGGTGGCATGCTCTCATCAACGACCCCAGGTTCGTCGACAAGCACCTCTCCCATTCCATGCTGGACGATCAGTCCACTCGTGTCCTTCTGAAGCGAATGTTAGTCCCTTCTACGGAGGACCCAAATGGGGACACAAATTTCAATCCGTATTTCTCAGTACTTACTTTTGACAATGTCATTGTTGATGATGACGAGATGATGGTGTGCACAAGTGTAGCACTCTTTCTGGGATCGAGGACGTCAATATTCCTCTTTCTATGAGTCTGGAGATTGGAGATGATCAATCATTTCATGTTATAGGTCATTGTGATGGGATCATTTGTCTAGCTCGTCCTAATTCTACTAAGGTGCTTTTGTGGAATCCGGCAATTCAGGAATTCAGGGTCCTTCTTCCCTCGGAGACATACAGTCCAGATTGGTTCGACGAAGCATCCTTTAGGGATCCTCATCCTTGGTGGTTGGATATGCCTTACATGCCACTAACAAATCGGTTCAACGATGTTTTGGGATTAGGCTATGATCCTAAATCTAAAGATTACAAAGTTGTCAAAATTGGATTTTCTGGTTCAGAATTGCATGGCGGCACAGAACATTTGATTATTCATCCTCCCAAGGTAGTAGTGTATACCCTAGGAACTAATTCTTGGAGGGAGATCGAGCCTTATTCTTTAGAAACGGAAACTACTTTCCTTTGGCCTGAAACTTTTCAGGTGTACTTCAAAGGGGATGTGTTATTGGATAGGAAGTGAGCAACAAAAGGAATTTGCCGATAGCTATGATGTCACCTATCCCGAGCAAGAAAAAAATTAGGCGAGTGATCGTTTTGTTTGACATGAGTCGTGAGGTGTTTCATGACATACTGTTACCACATGAGATGGTAGAGTTCAACAATTTCGAAGGAATTGGTATTGAAATGCGTCTTAAGGTGTGGAATGAATCCATCGCTCTCTTTCGCTTGAATCGTAATACCTTTGAAGATGGTGATACACCACCCTTTGAATTGTGGCTAATGGATGATGATTCTGGTGGTGGTCCGAAAAATGCGGGTGGTGTTTGGACAAAACACTTTGCTGCCAAGATCCCATCATTCTCAAGGTCCGGCTTGCCCCTGTACTCCACATTGGCAATGTGGAAAAGCGACGAGGTTCTTACAGTAGAGGGAAATGGAGGCTTGCCAATGTGGAAAAGCGACGAGGTTCTTACAGTAGAGGAAAATGGAGGCATAGTCTGCTATAACTTCCGTACTAAGAAGCTTAAAAATCTTCCCATTCAAAGTGCTGTAAGGATCAATCCCATTTTTCCTCCGCAACCGTATTATTTGCCACTGTGCAAAGCAAATCATTCGCCCATTGTATATGTCAAGAGTATGGTTTCGGTCACGGAAGGCAACAACAAGTACATGTGTACGTAGATATCGAAAGTAATGAAATCCTTTTGTTGTCCAAATTATGGATGTCCTTAAGAAACTTGGAGTCGATAAAAATTTACGAGTATATTTGATAATTTTTTATTAATGAATTAACTAAACGGAAAAGGCATGTGGTATCAACAATCTGCAAATATGAAGCAATACAACCAAGAAACGAAATGATGGCTACCTGCAGATATCCACCCTGCGGTGTTGCCTTTCAACGAAGAAGATGAGATACACAAACAATGTTCGAAATTAAGTGTATTGTAAGTTGTACATTTTTACAAGATGAGATACGCAAGCAATGCCTAAATCGTTTCTGTATTTTTTCGTTCGGAACCATGTTTAGCTAGCGTTGTCCTGAATGGATTTTTGAAACAGAATTATAATCTAAAATTTGGACCGCTAGCTAGCTTAGGGTTTGAATCTGATATATGATGAACCACTTTATATAATTGGGTTGATGATGAATCATCCACTACACAGTTACTACCCTTTATAGCATGAGAATGCATTGCCGTGGGCAACAAGAAAGATGCATTCCCTAATTCCGAATGTGTTCACACTCACTTGACCTTAATTATTATCACCTTTGCTAGCTAGCTTCAACTTAATCTTTCTCTACACTCTACACTTGACCTCAATTCTAACAATTTGTATGTTGTATATTTGATCATGTTTGATTAATGAATTAACTAAACAGAAGGCATGTTGTGTTAACAATCTGCAAATGTGAAGCAATACAACCATGAAATGAAATGATGAGTACCCGCAGATATCCACCCTGCGGTGTCGCCTTGCAGCGACGAAGCGGGTGTCTATAGGACAATATGATTTCCCCGGTCCGAAGGCTAGCTCCAGGGTGAGTAGCAGCAAATTGAAATAGCTATTTACTTAATCCACAAGTTAATTAATTATCTGCAACCGGGATAAGTAAGTTGAATAGAAACCATGAAGAGGAGAGGAGAGCTCCAAAATTTCAAAGATAAGAATTACCACTGCTAGAAGGTAGTGGTTGAAACTTCAATTTACAAGATAAGATACATAAACAATGTCCAAATCGTTTCTGTTTATATTCGATTGGAACCATATTTAGCTAGCGTGGTCCTGAATGGCTTTCTCAAATAGAATTATAATCTAAAAATTGAGACTATTAGCTTGCTTGGGGTCTGAATCTGATATATGAGGAACCGCTATAATTGGGTTGATTGGGTTGTTGATGAATCAACCACTACACGGTTACCACCCTTTATAGCATGCATATGAGAATGCAAAGCCTTGCATAACAAGAAAGAGGCATTCCCTAGTTCAGGATCTGTTCACACTTACTTGACCTTAATTATTATCATCTTTGCTAGTTAGCTTCACCTTAATTAATTTCTCCAAACCCTACCCTTAACCTCAACTCTAACTATTTAAACACCTCTTCATTTCTTTGAAAATTCACACTTCATTCACTCTTTAGCTTTCCTTATTATTTCTCATCCCATCCTCCCTCCCTCCCTTTGTTCTTTTGATAATTGCTTGACAACCATGCACTTCTTCAAGATTGTTCTCGTTGTCATCGCTCTTTGCTTCGTCACTTATCTCGGAAAGAGCAATGCTGCCACACCATATGATATCTTCCAATTCGTCCAGCAATCCCCATACGTCTTCTGCCTTGGGAATGGAATTTGTGGAAACCCACCAGTTCTGCGGCATACCTTTACGACACACGGCCTCTGGCCGAGCAACTTTACCGATCCATCTGCATCTATACTCTGCGCTGGCACGCTATTCGACAGAAAACAGGTACACATTGAATATATTTACTCATTTCAGTTTGTTTTTTTTCTCCTGCAGCTCTCTGAAATGCTTGTAACTTCTCGTCTTTGTGCTTCAGATGAATGCTGATCATAATGCAATTACTTTTGTCCAATTCCTGGCCCAACTTCAACATTAGACGGACAAATATGGATTTCTGGGAGCATGAGTACAACAAGCACGGCAGGTGCTCGGACAATAAATTTTCCCAGACACAGTACTTCCACGAAGCTCATAGATTATGGTTGACCTACAATGCACAATATCTATTTTCTCAAACAACTGGGATTGTACCAGGACATCAATATGATTACATCGACCTTGAATCGGCCATTCGACGGACTATAGGAGGGAAAACACCTCTTCTTATGTGCAAGTATGATGGGAGGATCGTGTATCTCCAGGAAGTCGTCATCTGTTTTGACTACAACGCAGCGAATCCGGTCGATTGTGTCAGGACAACAAATTGTGGGGCATTGGTATCGTATTCACTCTAATGGGTATATATAGTGGCTGCTACATATATCTATATTAATGTAATAAGAACAACAATATAATGATGATTTCGAATTTATCGATCTCACCATTTCATATCCTAAGTAAATGTTATGTAGTACGTACATGACCTGATGAATTCTGATTATGGTAATTTGCAGTGCAATTTGTTTGGGGTAGTAAATTCGAAAGTTTGATTCTAATTTGTTTTAAAAGCCTTTCAAAATCCGTCAAAATTAACTAGACCATGAAATTCCGAAGTTAAAACATGATCAAATATGCGGCAGACAAAAGTTTTACTGACACCAAATTGCTATGCATCCTGCAAATATATAATATAATTGGCACAATATTACAAATGTTTTGGAAAATTGAAGAATATTCAGTGCACTTTAAAGCAAAAAGATAATTAATTACAATGAGGAAAATTGTTCGTCATTCATAGACACCAAGGACAACTTAATAAAAACATGCTTGGGATCGGAACCAAATGGTACTGTTGTGATACGAGTTTCAAGATAAGGTCATTGTTTCTGATAGCGTTTCAAATAAGATTTGTATTATGTGTTTTAGCAATGAGGGAACCAAGTACCAATTAATTTCACATTAAATTTGTTTTCTCAAACGAGAACTATAAGCCTCAAAAGTCTTATTTTCAGCCTGTTCTTCTATTTCATGGTTCCCTTCAACAACCATTATTGGAACTTTGGACACTAAACTCTGCATATACCTACACAAATTACCCAGCAATGACAACATAAGAAAACAAGTTCTATGCCATAATTTACAGCAGCCATTGTATGCGATAGAAATAAAGCAATTTATGTTTTAACCATCCCCATAATCCCATCGAGGCTGATAGGTCTCATGTATTGGAGAGTTTGGAAATGAGCAAGAATAGCAGTCAGAGCCAGTTCCATTTGTGAGGTAGAGGTTTGCATAAGTAACATCACCAATCAATAGAACAAGATCAGGATTGTTACTTTTCAAGTGACTTATTGTGGTAGTTGTGTTGTAAGTAAGGCCAAGGTCTCCCATAACCGCTATTCTCTCAGGGTAGCTCCGAGGACCAGAAAACTGGGATAGTCCTGAAAATGGTGGATTTGACTCATTGCATGTATAGAAGGATCCCCGCATCGATAAAAGTACAGTGTATTCAGTTTCAACCCTACATCGAAACAACAATTAGATCACCAACTTATCAGAAGAACCACATTCCATCACAACTTATGTTTGGGGGATTTAAAAGTTCAGTCATTTCAGCAAAACCCAACTTTGTAATTCTCCATTGAAACTTTGAAGAAAATAAGAAGCAAACGAAATCAAACTTGTGAGACGAACATGGTGGATGATTCCGGAAGTATAATTTTGGACTTCAAAAGGGGAGAGCTGATTGTAAACAAGAGAATACCCTGTGGCTTCATGTGTTGGTGGATATCTCAGCTTCCCATAACGAACAACGCTTGCCACACTTTTCTGGTCCAATAGACATGTGTTACAGTTGTGGTTTCAAAGCGCGATTCTCTAGATCTCAAGACTTTCAACTTCAAGAATAAAGGTAAGGCACAACCACCATAGAAATAGACATATGTTATCATTGTGGTTCCAAGGATTATTGGTCATGCATTTGTCAAGCACTTGTTGATGTTGTTGCTAAGTATCATTCACGTCGTAAAGTCATACACACTAACTTTGTTCAAGTTGATAATCCCGAAGATACCACTGTGTAGTTTTTTGATTTTCAAAAGTCATCTACACCGATGGAAGATTAGAACTTTTAAACAAGGGCCAACATGTGTCTGAGTTCCCCCTAGTGGCTAAACGCCCTCTTAATATTTGGTTCAAGTTTTTGAACAATTTTCTATGGAGTAAGACAATTTTATGAATTTAAATGACATCGAAGTTGTTGATTAGATCATTAATTTAAACATGGATGAACGTAATCATTCCTTATTGGTGACACATAATTTGGTTTGCAAATTTTGTCTACAAATTTAGCCTTCCTAGCATTACTCTTTTTCTATGTATTTGGATTATTATTTATTGGTGTTTTGTTTTAAATTTTGGATAATTACTTTATGAATATGATTCTCGGGGTGATTAGTGAATGAGCAAAATTTAAATTTCCTTATACATGTGACTAAAGGCGAATTCAAACAAAAGCAATATTACTAGCCACTGTGAGGTTTTGGCCATTCTTCGATCCTTTAGTATAGAAAATATCGAATGTATTAAAATAAAAATAAATTTTAGCAATTTTTGAGATTCAAAGACCGTTTTACAGGAAATTATCGAGTAAGGCTACCAATCCTTGATATGTATTGTTTTGGGCATAATGCATGTAGTCCAAATATCCTAGTGGATTGGAAGTTGATTTCTACCTTGCGTGTCAAGTTCAAACATCCCTCCTCATCTAAGTTATTATAAAAGTTTTAAATCATCCATTTAATAATGTAACACATCCCACATCGCCCAGGGAATGGATCCTCTAAGCCTTATATGTATATTCTCTCTACCTAACACGAGGCATTTTGGGAGCTCATTGGCTTCGGGTTCTATCGGAACTTCGAAGTTAAGCGAGAGTTCACGAGAGCAATCCTAGGATGGGTAAACCCACTGGGAAGTTCTCGTTCCCAAAAACAAAAAATCGTGGGGGCGTGGTCGAGGCCCAAAGCGGACAGTATCGTGCTACCGTGAAGTTGAGCCCGGGATGTGGTGGTGGTGGGGCCCCAGGCCGGGATGTGACAATTTGGTATCAGAACCAATCCCTGGCCGGAAGTGTGTACCGACAAGGATGTCGGGCCACTAAGGGGGGTGGATTTGTAACATCCCACATCGCCCAAGGAATGGATCCTGCAAGCCTTATATGTATATTCTCATCTCTACCTAGCACGAGGCATTTTGGGAGCTCACTGGCTTCGGGTTTCATCGAAACTCCAAAGTTCAGCGAGTTCGCGCAAAAAGGAATCCCATGATGGGTGACCCACTGGGAAGTTTCGTGTGGAGTTCCCAAAAATAAAAACCTTGAGGGTGTGATCAGGGCCCCAAAACGAATAATATTGTGCTACAGTGGAGTCGAGCCCGAGATGTGGTGAGGGCTCGGGCTGGGATGTGACAAATAATAATAATTTAAAAAAAAATATGGTTGGCATAAGGCTACGTCCTTTTTATTTTATTTTTATATGCAACGATAGCTTGTATTAACAAGCCAGAAATGAGGGAACAAAAAAAAACAAAAGTTTCTGATTTCTAGAAATCCTTAACTAAACAACAAAAACAACTACTATGAAGGGCAAATCAAGCTAGCTGATGGATTATGTTGGTGGCTAAAAGGCACACATGGGAAGGTGTTTAGGCCCAAATAGTTTTTAGGGTCAATAAAAGATAAACTCCGGTGGTTGTAATCATCACTGGTGTGTAGATAATATCATTTGTTCAAAAACAAAAAAGTTTGGGTAGTGTTCAAATCAAGCACGTCGTCGTCAAAGCCATTGGCAGAATGCAGCCTCATCGATGAAAGGTTAAGGTGCTCGTCAATGTGAATCGCGCGGACGTTGTGGAATTTGCAGCGAGGAGGCCGACGACAAGGTCCGGGCTACCCGTGGCGCCAATGCAAAGGGCGGTGCTGCTGAGGCACTCGAAGGCGAGCTAGCGCTTGCAAAACGAGGGAGCAGGCATCACGGCTGGGCTTAGAGTAGAGCCACTGGAAGAGCTCGGCAATCTTTTTACTACATAGACTTTCTCCGAATACTCTATCACCACGGAGACTATTAATCTGATTTACAAATTGAGGCCCAGGAGTCTGATGTCCATAAACTAGTGTCTTCGTCATGTCTTCTTTCTAACTTAGTGACACATGCTTCAACTTAATACCAAATTCAACAGTGTTAACATTTAAAAAAAATTAAAAATTAAAAAAAAACAACAGCATCCCTTAAAAGATAACATCGTTAAATTAAACAGTGATAACACCAAATTAAATAGCGCGTAATTGGGGTAGGTGGAGAGTTAGGCACCTTTTGTTTTTTCTTTTATTTTTCTTTTTATTTGTTATATTAGTCCTTTTGAAAAGATAGCACCGTTAAATTAAAAGTTAAGTTTATAGACATCTGTTAAAAAGTTAAGAGAACAGCAAACTGCAGCCGAATTTGGGAGGGTAAGTTCGTAAAATTGGGAGGGTGTTGAAAAACGGTCGCACAAGAATCAAAATAAAAACCCCTCTCTGCCATCGCATTACCGCACGCAGCTGCACGAACAAAACGCAGAAAATACATTTTCTGCGCCGAGTCTGCCCCTTTCCCTCTCACTCACAGCGCTGCTTCTGCTTCGGTCTCTTCCTCTTCCTACTGCCTAGTCTACAACAAGGTAACCTCATTTCTAACTTTTTATTATTCAATTTCAGTTTTTATATTTTTTTTTTAAATGAAAGAAGGATACTTTTTTTGCTTCGATTCTTATTTCGCTTTTGAATTTCAATTGGCATTTTCAGTAGGGCTAAATTTTTGAATGTATCAATGAGTTTTTTTTTTATTTTTAACAAAGAAATAGCAATGCCAGATGATGATGAGCTTTTGAGAATATGCTTAATTAGAGAGAATGTGTAATTGTGGAATCTTCTGATCTTGTTGTGTGTTGGTCTTTGTGTGTATCGTAGAACAAGGGTGAGGTCCATAATTGACATTGCACAAATGACGAAACAAACATCCAAAATCGGACAAGATTTGTTGGTGAATATTCTGTCAACTCTGCCTCCGAAATCTCTGATGCGATTCAAGTGCGCGTCGCTAAATGGTGGCATGCTCTCATCAACGACCCCAGGTTCGTCGACAAGCACCTCTCCCATTCCTTGCTGGACGATCAGTCCACTCGTGTCCTTCTGAAGCGAATGTTAGTCCCTTCTACGGAGGACCCAAATGGGGACAAATTTCAATCCGTATTCTCAGTACTTACTTTTGACAATGTCATTGTTGATGATGACGATGGTGGTGTGCACAAGTGTAGCACTCTTTCTGGGATCGAGGACGTCAATATTCCTCTTTCTATGAGTCTGGAGATTGGAGATGATCAATCATTTCATGTTATAGGTCATTGTGATGGGATCATTTGTCTAGCTCGTCCTAATTCTACTAAGGTGCTTTTGTGGAATCCGGCAATTCAGGAATTCAGGGTCCTTCCCTCGGAGACATACAGTCCAGATTGGTTCGACGAAGCATCCTTTAGGGATCCTCATCCTTGGTGGTTGGATATGCCTTACATGCCACTAACAAATCGGTTCAACGATGTTTTGGGATTAGGCTATGATCCTAAATCTAAAGATTACAAAGTTGTCAAAATTGGATTTTCTGGTTCAGAATTGCATGGCGGCACAGAACATTTGATTATTCATCCTCCCAAGGTAGTAGTGTATACCCTAGGAACTAATTCTTGGAGGGAGATCGAGCCTTATTCTTTAGAAACGGAAACTACTTTCCTTTGGCCTGAAACTTTTCAGGTGTACTTCAAGGGGATGTGTTATTGGATAGGAAGTGAGCAACAAAAGGAATTTGCCGATAGCTATGATGTCACCTATCCCGAGCAAGAAAAAATTAGGCGAGTGATCGTTTGGTTTGACATGAGTCGTGAGGTGTTTCATGACATACTGTTACCACATGAGATGGTAGAGTTCAACAATTTCGAAGGATTTGGTATTGAAATGCGTCTTAAGGTGTGGAATGAATCCATCGCTCTCTTTCGCTTGAATTGTAATACCTTTGAAGATGGTGATACACCACCCTTTGAAATGTGGCTAATGGATGATGATTCTGGTGGTGGTCCGAAAAATGCGGGTGGTGTTTGGACAAAACACTTTGCTGCCAAGATCCCATCATTCTCAAGGTCCCTCTTGCCCCTGTACTCCACATTGGCAATGTGGAAAAGCGACGAGGTTCTTACAGTAGAGGGAAATGGAGGCTTGCCAATGTGGAAAAAGCGAAGAGGTTCTTACAGTAGAGGAAAATGGAGGCATAGTCTGCTATAACTTCCGTACTAAGAAGCTTAAAAATCTTCCCATTCAAAGTGTGCTGTAAGGATCAATCCCATTTTTCCTCCGCAACCGTATTATTTGCCACTGTGCAAAGCAAATCATTCGCCCGTTGTATATGTGAAGAGTATGGTTTCGGTCACGGAAGGCAGGCAACAACAAGTACATGTGTACGTAGATATCGAAAGTAATGAAATCCTTTTGTTGTTCAAATTATGGATGTCTTTTAAGAAACTTGGAGTCGATAAAAATTTACGAGTATATGAAGCAATACAACCAAGAAACGAAATGATGGCTACCCGCAGATATCCACCCTGCGGTGTTGCCTTTCAACGAAGAAGATGAGATACTCAAACAATGTGTTCGAAATTAAGTGTATTGTAAGTTGTACGTTTTTTACAAGATGAGATACGCAAGCAATGCCTAAATCGTTTCTGTATTTTTCGTTCGGAACCATGTTTAGCTAGCGTTGTCCTGAATGGATTTTTGAAACAGAATTATAATCTAAAATTTGGACTACTAGCTAGCTTAGGGTTTGAATCTGATATATGATGAACCCACTTTATATAATTGGGTTGATGATGAATCGTCCACTACACAGTTACTACCCTTTATAGCATGAGAACGCATTGCCGTGGGCAACAAGAAAGATGCATTCCCTAATTTCCGAATGTGTTCACACTCACTTGACCTTAATTATTATCACCTTTGCTAGCTAGCTTCAACTTAATCTTTCTCTACACTCTACACTTGACCTCAATTCTAACAATTTGTATGTTGTATATTTGATCATGTTTGATTAATGAAATTAACTAAACAGAAGGCATGTTGTGTTAACAATCTGCAAATGTGAAGCAATACAACCATGAAATGAAATGATGAGTACCCGCAGATATCCACCCTGCGGTGTCGCCTTGCAGCGACGACGAAGCGGGTGTCTATAGGACAATATGATTTTCCCCGGTCCGAAGGCTAGCTCCAGGGTGAGTAGCAGCAAATTGAAATAGCTATTTACTTAATCCACAAGTTAATTAATTATCTGCAACCGGGGATAAGTAAGTTTGAATAGAAACCATGAAGAGGAGAGGAGAGCTCCAAAAATTTCAAAGATAAGAATTACCACTGCTAGAAGGTAGTAGTGTTGAAACTTCAATTTACAAGATAAGATACATAAACAATGTCCAAATCGTTTCTGTTTATATTCGATTGGAACCATATTTAGCTAGCGTGGTCCTGAATGGCTTTCTGAAATAGAATTATAATCTAAAAATTGAGACTATTAGCTTGCTTGGGGTCTGAATCTGATATATGAGGAACCGCTATAATTGGGTTGATTGGGTTGTTGATGAATCAACCACTACACGGTTACCACCCTTTATAGCATGCATATGAGAATGCAAAGCCTTGCATAACAAGAAAGAGGCATTCCCTAGTTCAGGATCTGTTTCACACTTACTTGACCTTAATTATTATCATCTTTGCTAGTTAGCTTCACCTTAATTAATTTCTCCAAACCCTACCCTTAACCTCAACTCTAACTATTTAAACACCTCTTCATTTCTTTTGAAAATTCACACTTCATTCACTCTTTAGCTTTCCTTATTATTTTCTCATCCCATCCTCCCTCCCTCCCTTTGTTCTTTTGATAATTGCTTGACAACCATGCACTTCTTCAAGATTGTTCTGTTTGGATTTTGTGGCTCAATACTTCTTGGGCCTTTAGTTTTTTGTTTCAAGCCCAAATAGGTTTGGCCTTTTGTTACCCATTTGAAAGCCACATTGCAGCTAGGGTTTTAATTAAAAGGCACCAGCCTTATATATAAGGCAAATTCATGCCTTTTGGTCAGTAAAGAGAGCAGAAACTTAGCGGCAGCAGATAGCAGAAAAAAGAGAACAGAAACTCAGCGGCAGCAGATAGCAGAAAACAGAGAGCAGCCGATAGAGAAGAAAATTGAGTGCTGCTGTTTTACTGTTCTTCATTTGTGCAATCATTCATTCAAAGATATATTGCTAAATTTTGTGGCTTTTGGGAGAGAAGGATTTGGTATGTGTTTCTTCTTCTCCATTTGTTCTTTGTATGAGTGAAAGCTATTGGGTGTATGTCGGATTTGGGTTTGAGTGTTGAACTCTATTTGTAATCTCCTTTTATATTAGTGGAATTTCCTCGCCGTCTCGAAACTAGACGTAGGATTACGCCGAACCAGTATAAATCCTTGTGTCATTTGGATTATTTGTCTTATCATATTTTGCCGTTGTAGTTTATTGGTTTCATATTTGACGCTTCCGCACAACATGTTCTCGTTGTCATCGCTCTTTGCTTCGTCACTTATGTCGGAAAGAGCAATGCTGCCACACCATATGATATCTTCCAATACGTCTTCTGCCTTGGGAATGGAATTTGTGGAAACCAACCAGTTCTGCGGCATACCTTTACGACACACGGCCTCTGGCCGAGCAACTTTACCGATCCATCTGCACCTATACTCTGCGCTTGGACCCTATTCGACAGAAGTCAGGTACACATTGAATATATATACTCATTTCAGTTTGTTTTTTTTCTCCTGCAGCTCTCTGAAATGCTTGTAACTTCTCGTCTTTGTGCTTCAGATGATTGCTGATCATAATCTGCAATTACTTTTGTCCAATTCCTGGCCCAGCTTCAACATTAGACGGACAAATATGGATTTCTGGGAGCATGAGTACAACAAGCACGGCAGGTGCTCGGACAATAAATTTTCCCAGACACAATACTTCCACGAAGCTCATAGATTATGGTTGACCTACAATGCACAATATCTATTTTCTCAAACAACTGGGAAAACACCTCTTCTTATGTGCAAGTATGACGGGCGGATCGCGTATCTGCTGGACGTCGTCATCTGTTTTGACTACAACGCAGCGAATCCGGTCGATTGTGTCAGGACAACAAATTGTGGGGCATTGGTATCGTATTCACTCTAATAGGTATATATAGTGGCTACATATATCTATATTAATGTAATAAGAACAACAATATAATGATGATTTCGAATTTATCGATCTCACCATTTCATATCCTAAGTAAATGTTATGTAGTACGTACATGACCTGATGAATTCTGATTATGGTAATTTGCAGTGCAATTTGTTTGGGGTAGTAAATTCGAAAGTTTGATTCTAATTTGTTTTAAAAGCCTTTCAAAATCCGTCAAAATTAACTAGACCATGAAATTCCGAAGTTAAAACATGATCAAATATGCGGCAGACAAAGTTTTTACTGACACCAAATTGCTATGCATCCTGCAATATATAATATAATTGGCACAATATTACAAATGTTTTGGTAAGAAATTTACATTATTCACAGAAACAACAGGTGATGATAATCTCTATGAGATGGAGGTGGAACCCCTGCAAATATATAATAGAATTCGATATCCGAAATTGCTCCAGGAACCAATCTTACACGTGTTGTTGTTGTATAAATTGGTTGAGAGAGTATATATATTCAAGTTACAAAGGAGACGTATAAATGAGATTTTATCATTTACATACAACAACAACAGCGGAGTTGCTCTTCTTCTGCTCTCTCTCTCTCTCCCCCTCCCCCTCCCCGCCCCCTCCCCCACCCCCCACCCCCCCAACCCCCCCCCCTCTCTTATATATATATAGTGTGTATACATAGGTGAAACCCCATCTTCCTACTCTTTCTGCAACCTTCCATCCTATTCCTATCTAGATAAGAATGGTCAATTGATTTTGGGATCTTAATAATAAATTTTTTCCCAGCAAGCAGCAGTGAGAAATTAGAGGTCAGCAAGCCAACTTTCGAACACATGGCGGAGGATGCGGCATTTATCAGGCTGCCTCACTATATAAATTTGATCTCCAATTTTATTGTCGGAGTCCTGGTTCCGGTACCATGTCCACAAAGCCCAAGTCTCATTCTTCACCTGCAAGTTATGCACATCAAAATGCACGCTTAGTGTATAATCCAGGTAGCCTACTAGCCTACATCTATATGTTTGCTACTCAATAACCGATCAAGGGTATTCAAGTCAGTCACAGGATTTTCGCACTCCGTATAAACAGATATTGGTGCTAAGTGATTTTCTCTTGACATTGCAGTGGAATGGTAAAAATGATTTAAACTGGTTCCATAACATTTACCCATGTGTGGTCTTTCTATGCACATTGACAGTCAAGCACATGCTCCTCATCTTTCCATCAATCATTTTCAAGTTGTATCATATGTAGTGTAGGGTCATACAAATTAAAGTATAACGTTTATAGACAATTGAATGCATTGTCAGACTGGATATTTGCCAAACAGAAACACAGAAAAAGGAGTACCTCAAGGATCCCATGGCCAAAGCTGCTTTCTCTGAAAGCACTGTAATCCGGTTGCCGATCCCAACAAAATTTACCTGCTGCTGGGCCGGAGGTAAAGTTCTCTGCACAAAAGGCACCATCACCTAGGTGTTGATCAGGAGTAGTTGATGGCTCTGGGCAACGACCAGGTTCGTCAGCATGTTGAACTGCCATCTTCTCCCGATTACCCCCGTCACCAACGGTGAGATATACAGGACCACAGGGATCTAAGTTGTAATCATAAACTCGATTCGATCGCTCGTAGGCATGAACCTATTGTTTTATTCAAGAAAACAGAAGAACATTCAGTGCACTTTAAAGCGAAAAGATATTTAGTTACAATGAGGAAAATTGTCATCATTCATAGACACTAAGGACAACTTAATAAAATCATGCTTGGGATCGGAACCAAATGTACTGCTGTGATACGAGTTTCAAGATAAGGTCATTGTTTCTGATAGCGTTTCAAATAAGTTTGTGTTATGTGTTTTAGCAATAAGGGAACCAAGTACCAATTAATTTCATGTTAAATTTGTTTTCTCAAAAGTTTAAAGCATAAACTGCAGTTCCTTCTAGCTTTCTACCACTATCTGGTTACTGGTATGAAAGAAAGCCTCAGTCGAAGGACCCTTATACCACTTCTTCCAC